CTTTCGGGGTTTGAAAACAGACTTCGAAGTGTTTAGGGTTGTAACTGAACTCGGACGTGCAGAAGCTGCAGCTGAGTGTGATGCAGGGCGAGCAAAACGGTCAGTCCTAGAGCTGGGACCTGCGGACAAAGTATTCAAATTTGGGCGGGGGAGGGCGGAAGACGGAAAACGTGAAAGTGAAAGAAGGGAGGCCTCAGCAGTAGCATGTTTTCGCTTACCCGCCCTGCTGTATCCAGCAAGTAAGGCGACCCGGCTGATGGCACCACGCGACGGCCGATGTGGCATGAGAGTATTGTTAGTTGTGTAGGTCATGGTTGTACGAGGGCTGGGATACTGCCAGGGCGCCCACACCTAGACAGGAAGACGATTAGGGTCCTCAACCAAAGCCTTTGGCTCAAAAGCCTAACCGCAAGGCAGCGGTGTTTGGCGGGGAAATGCAAATGCATGACCTTTTCTACGGAACAAGTCGCCATACATGTTCCAACCCCCAACCTGGAGGGCCAGGAGATTGTGTTCGTCAGACCTCTAACCATTGACCAACCTGGTATGAGAGACTCTCTGAGTGTCGCTCGGGCACCCCCAGTATAGCTCAATGGGTCTCCGAGGTACACAAACCGCCACACCACGGTAAGGTCCAGTCTCTTCTTGACGTGCTGCACACAGCACTTGCCAAGGCGCATCAGCCGAAGGGCATGGTAGTATTTCTGTGGAATTTTGGAGGTAAACACAAGAATATACACTACCATTATACTCATCTGTTGAACCCCAGTCGTTGGTTACATTGTTTATTTTCTTGAATAAATGTCAGATGTGATCACGGAGGTGGATCACCACGCCTAGTCCTTTCAGCATTGAGTTCCTCCTATGTGTTCAATTTAGCCATAAAATTTCTGTGTCAGCTTAGCGTCCTTACCAGTTTGGCATCTTTTTATTTCCCCCCCCCCCCTCGTAGGGTGATCATATGGCCAGAGCGATCGGTCGTATTTGCGGTGCAAAAGGTCGCATACGCATGTGTGTGGAGAACGCGACACGCACCAGGATCGTGGTCGCAGACGAGGTTATTCATATTCTGGGCACTAACGAGCGGATAGCTGTGGCCCGCCGTGCAATCTGTGATCTCATCTTGGGTGCACCACCCAACAAGATATTTGGCAAGATTAGCACCCATGCAGCTCGTCTGGATGCGGCCTTGTAAATCCCGAACAACTTCACCATCTGCAGATAAACACGCCCCCAGATGATTTTCCTTTGTACATTTCATTGATACCAGGAAAATGCTACTGAACACTGGCGATATTTCGTTTTCGATGATAAATCGCTGTGGGTCTTCGTTCTGTAGACGGTTATCCTAATTAACCTTTGACTTCACCTTTGACTTTTTTAGGGTTCCCGGCCCAAAGCTGTTGGGAATCGTTTATCAGATATGCGTGGTCCAGCTGCCGCAACAAGTGATCTTGTCGGGTGACCGTGCCGACTGTGTGTTGGATCTTATGGTATAATTCACGGAGGGTGTACCCCTTTGAAGCGACTCTCTCCAAGAGGAGTCGAGGAGACGAACTGAACCTCCGCATTCTGAATAGCGGTTATCAGGACAAAAAATTGCTCAGCTGTAGCACCCTTTCGGTGCCTGACTGCCATGCCACCCGAAGGTTGCCAGGTTGCTGAAGCCTAGGCAGGGAAAGTCGAGAGGCAGAGGTCGGGTTCGAACCGCGGACCTTCCGGTCACTAAATTCGTGCTCTAACCATTTGGACCATCTCGGGACATGCATGATCTTTTCTGTTTTTGATGGTGTCCTTGGCTTCAGCCTAGTGTTTTTTTTCGGTTCTGACCCTAATGATCGCACCTTGCGCAGTGTGAGACATTTCCTGAGCCGTTTATCACTACCATGATCCATCGTTGACTTCGTTGAAGTGGACAGTTTTTCCACGAAGTTGAGGATGCTAGTTTTAGTTGAGTTGCGTAACTGAAGAAAACGGAACGTATGAGTTACCTGGCTCATTTTCCAATGTTTTTATACTCTTATTCCAATTGGGTATAATAGACTGGACCCTTTATGACCTAAAGCAAATGACAAATTGGTTGTTGTCTTTTGATATCCACTGTCTACGGTCGCCCTTTGAAGTTATGGTATACGAATGACCGTCCAAACTATCGACTGTTGGCAATATATTGGGCTGGAGTCGCACACAATTTTGGATGATTCGCTTCTTACTTTTGTGTATCACTATTGATTTATTCACATAGAGTCTGTGAACTCCACCACCAGGTCTTCGAAGATGACACTGTCACTTCAATTACTGAGAATTTTCCACTGGGTCATGACCTGATTGTATATTTTGTCTAATAATACGCTTCTTCGGGAATATCATGCACTCAAATTGTACCATTAGCTGCTAGAGAAGGACATGTGTCGTGTCCAACTAATAAACCCTCTCAGAACAGACGGTTCTCGTTTACCACACTGATGTTCAATCGTGCAGTTGGGTGGAGAGGTTGCTGTGAGTTTGAGAACAGCACAGAAAAGGTACTTACAGCTTTGTACCGTGCACAGAATGGAATGGATGACGAATCACCCATCGCTTTGGCACAAGAGGACCAATGCTAGTGTCTACTGTTATATCATGAGGTTTAGGTCCCACCGGTCGCTTTTAACAGACCTCTTATTCTTCTGGGTTCACATGGGCGTCAGTCGCTTATAGGTAACAATGCGTCCAACTCCGCGAGAATCGCTTGTGGATTATTTACTGTGCACAGGCCTCCAGTGGGCTGATCGCTGTTGACAGGTAGATCCAGACTGACCGTTGTTCCTCAATGTTCTTCAGTCGAATGTGGAGCACCAAGTCTGCCCAGAGCTTCGGCTGGAGTGCTACTAAGGATATCACCCTTCATAATTGACACGGCCTATAATCACCGACAGGGACAGCAATCAGGCAGTGGTGGAAAATGGGGCTGAACTGCCATAATAATAATCATTCCGCTGTAACACCTTTTCGCTGCCTAGCTGCCATGCCACCCGAAGAAAGCACGAGGGCTGGAATACTGCTAGGTTGCCCAAGCCTAGACAGGGGAAGTCGAGAGGCAGAGGTCGGGTTCGAACCACGGACCTTCCGGGCAGTAAATTCGCGCTCTAACCACTTGGGCCATCTCGTCCCCGAACTGCTATACAACTAAGGAAGGAGAAGATCGCTGTAAAGGGCCAAAAGTAAGGGAAGGTCTTGGGACTTATTGCGAAAGCTAGGGAACCTGGCCAAAAGCAAAGTGTCTGCGTCTTCCAAAACCACGGAAGTAAACTCATTTGTGCAAGACGCTGTCAGTGGAATTGGTCTAACGCCCTTTCCGAATGTCGCCCAACACAGGCTCGACGCACAACGGTAGATCAGCACTAGCTGAGCAGTGTGGCTGGGAAATGGCGCCAAGCACGTCGCCAGGATAGCTAATGTTCCATGTCTTGTAGGCCTATAACTGTGCACAGGGCGAATCACGTGGATTCTGTGCAGGAGAACGCTCTCTCACGGTACTCAGTTTCACAGTAGCCACGTTTTTTTCACGTTGGCGCACCATCTGTCTTTCACGAAACTTTCGCCAACAAGGTTTTGGAGTGGAAAATACAGCTTTTTGGGTCGGGGGCCCAACCTACGTAGTGGGTTGCACATCTTAACATGGTAAGCTCTAGCTGCTGGTCAGACAATCCGGCCGGTGGTCGTTTCGTTACGTACATGCGAGAGCCTGTTACTACCATAAAACCGGTAAGGTTGGCGAAAACGTCAATAATTCACTACCTGTTTTTGCTCTGTTCAGGCTTAACAGGAACGGCATAGTCGCCAAAATAGATCAATCTTACTGAGACACAGAACCTTACCCAAGTAACGAAATGCACTCGTTTGCAAGTTAGTGTTCCATCAAGAGAAAAAACAAAGCTGTACTCATCGTTTATTTGCTCAGTCGGCAGTGAAGCTCAAACAGCAGCGCGAAGCCGGTCTTGGATTGATTGCGAGTTACTCTCAATCACTTGGTGTGCACATGGTCATCCCTGTACGGACTGTCAGGCTCAGTTATCAAAGATTTCCTATAGAAGCCGCTAAATGTCCCTCAACACCTAATTGTGGAACTCCGAGAGCGCTGAAGACGTTTATGTTCTTGAGCTTTTCAATGGGCAAACATCCAAGACATTTGGATCATTTCCAAGCCCATGGCTAAAGGATAATCACACTGACTATTCACGAGCCATTTGAAGAGTTGTATTCTTGTGTTGCAGGTTTATTCAGCTGCTTTCAGTTGTATAGTCTTACCACATCCTGTTTTAACTATTCTGGTTAGTCCACTTCAATGAGCTTAGGAATAAAATTGAATTTATTTCATATTAGGACTTACCAGTATTGTGTTGCCCGCTCTACCGAAATGAAAAACACGCTTACTACTACGCAAGCATGTTGCCACTGATCTACGAGTGCTTAGTGGACTCACTTGGGCGCGGTTATTCCAGTAAGTCTACTGGTTTTACCGACCGGTAGTGCTTGCTAGGCATCATGAATGCCTTAGACGAGTTGATTCAGTAGTACTAATGAATAAGAGAACTGTTCATTCCGATGGTGTGTTTGAAATTAGTCATGATCAGTAAAATTTCTGTCCGCTTATGGCCGGCCTTGAAAGATACATTTCATGAAGTGAAAATGCCCATGAATCTCTAGATAACAAATTGCTCCTACTGTTCACGTGACTTCATCATTGCTTCTCGCAATCAGCTTTCGCTGCAACAACAACTCTAGAATGACTATGCGTCTGGGTACAACGTTTCAGACTTTTCTACCAGAGTGCAACCACTTCTTTAGTAAAATGAACTTCTCCCTGAACTGGGCTGTTGTGATTTCCTTTCTTGGAAGGGTGCTCAGATGAGACTTCTTTGAACCTGTGTTCAGCGTTTCGGTGTGTGACGCGATGGTAATCACATTCGCTAGCCACAGTGCCAACAAACTGTCACCCACGTCCCCCTCATCGTACGACGAATGAATTTAGGACGACCGAGTTGATTCGAAAAGTTCGTCTGTCACTCAAGGAATAAATAACAATACAAAGCCGAAAATGACCATCTGTGGTTGGGGATCAAAGTTGATTGTCGTCTCCATAGAAAACGTGATAGCCATGGAAATGGGACAAACAATAAATATCGCTGTGCCAAATATGTTCTACAGTCAACTGACTTCTTGACAACTCCAATGTATGCACCTTGGGCTGATAGAATTGCAGTGCGAAATGCAACAAATATAAACTCAAATGAATAGCTTGGTATTGTTAAATGATTGGCTAAGTGTTTTTGTTGTTGTTGAAAATAAATATAGATTAACAAAGAGGGAGAATGAATTGGGAAAGAAGGGTACACAACCGAGATGGACTGAAGACCAGTCCTGATTACAACCAATGATTAAACGACACCGGAATGGTGCTCACAACCTTGAGAATTCAAAATGGGTTGAGTGGAGGGTCGTACGGAGAAATGTGAGATGTACTCACGGTTTCTAGCAGAACCGCGCCGCAAAATTAATGTTCAGTAAGTGATAATAATCAACAATTTCTCTGGAAATTGTTGCTCTTTTCAGTGTGTGTTTTGTAGCAGAGCTTGGTGTAATCCGGCCTCCTGGATTAGACCGACGGTTTATTGTTAGCCAGAATGTTAGAATTCTTATCGCTGTTATCATCGACATCCCCGTTTTCTGAGTCAACCTCAGGCACCTGTATCGGAAGTTTCGCAGTTCGAATGGATGGGCGGTTAAACCGGTTTCCAATGTGGATCGATCCGCTGGCTGAGGCGCGTTGTTTGTAGCAGTGAAAGAAATCGTACTTTAAACGTTTGGAATCCTTTCGGAAATACAAATCTGTAAAGTAGGAGACCAGGATTGTGACCACGAGTGTGCACAGCATGGCGAAAGTCTTGCACGGAAATCGTTGGTAGAAATCGCGCGGATCGTCGTAAAAGTAGGGATATTTGAACAAAGCTGGAAGGCCTAGCAGTGCCTCACCGGAAGTCAGTCTGACGAAGAGCCCGAGGATGTAGCCGACCAGAGATCCGTAGGTATTTGAGAAGCGGACGTAGAGCACACAAATGAGTTGGGGGAACAAGATAACATAAATGAGATCCGAGCAGAGATACCACAAGCCGTAGATCGATTGGATGCATATAGCCAACAAGCAGGACAAAGCGCCAACGCCAAATATACTGACGCGCATGACCCAAATGATTTGACGTTCGGTGGCAGACTGCCAGAAGACCGGTTTCACAACATTTCGAGCAAACATGGATGCGGCCGACAAGACGGAGGAGTCGGACGAGGACATGACGGCGGCGGAGACAGCGCCCAATCCTACAAATGATACCCACACTGGACATAGGTAACGCAGTACGAGTGGCAGCACGAGCTTTGCCTCTCCGTCTGGAATGGTAAAGTTTTCTGCTCTCCCGTAGCCTGTCATGTTCCAATCTGTAGAGTGGAGGAGAAAACACACGGGTTGACAAAACCGCAACGACCATGTCGCACAAATCCTATCGCTTGAAAGAACGCATCCGAGTCATTTTAGATTCCTGTGAATGATGCCAAAGTCCCAAACAGCTTGTTGGAAAGCAAAGTTTCCTAACTATGCATACTGTGTGTTGTCTTCCAAGGTTATGAACTGTATGCCATAGTGGAAGTGTAAGTTATGAGAAAGACCTCTGGCCGTAAATGAGTTAAGAATAATCTGCCTATTTGAACAAACAAGCTCAAATGCAACAGCACTCACGATTTGGACCGTAGGATTGAGCATGGAACGGGATGCACAGTACGCATATGTAAAGGAGTCAGAAAGCCTATTCGATCACTCGTCCCAACAGAACCTTTCCAAAAAACTTCAAGAGATGGTCAGCTCACAAAATTAGATGCAAGTTAGCGACAGCCTTCTTTCAGAATGAGATTATTCGGGCGACTCTTCAACAATCCGGTATCTTTTTCTGAAGGCCGCCACATGACTGATTAATCGTTCCAGAGAGACGGAGGCTAGCAGCACACTCCTTTAGTAGAGAAGGGTATCTTGCTGGGACCACATGACTTGTTCAGCCAGATCGTTCAGCTGTAGCCCCCTTTCGGTGCCTATCTGCCATGCCACACGAAGGAGGTACGGGAGCTGGGATACTGCCAGGTTGCCCAAGCCTATACAGGGGAAGTCGAGAGGCAGAAGTCGGGTTCGAAGCACGGACCTTTCGGTCAGTAAATTCGCGCCCTAACCACGTGGTCCATCTCGCCCCGTTCGGCCAGATGCCAACAAGCCATTTGCGAATATCTTAGTGAGGAGAAAGAAGACAGCATAGATAGTGCGTTGAAATGGGACATAGGGGGGGGGGAGAATGACATTCCTTATATGGTTTCCCGATACCAGTTTTTGACATGAATCTGCCGCCAAAAAATTCTTTCATCGTACGTCGCAGTTGACAGTAACTACGGTTTCTAACACTTGGTATCGCGGATGCCAGTGTCAGATGTAACAACGGGAGCGAGGTTGCAATGAGTTTCGAGTCAACAAGGACGATATCCTTGAGTTGAGGGATGGATAAATCGTGTTAGGAAATCGACACGGGTGTGCGAGTCTAGAAAAGCCAATTAGACGTTGAAGTTCCTCACAGTTACGCCTACATAACCGTATAGAGAGCAGACTGTGTTGAGAGATAGAGTCACTGATAATATAACATCTGAATTTGAGAAAATCGATAAAAGATGAGCATTAGTGAAAACAAGGGACTAAGAGTTTGATAATGACCGCAGATCATGTATGGTATCTGAAGGGTTGGCTGTCAGTGACCTGAATCACTAAGATGAGGTTACATGAATTATATTCGGTGAAAACAAGGGACTAAGAGTTTGATGATGACCGCAGATCATGTATGGTATCTGAAAGGTTGGCTGTCAGTAACCTGAATCAATGAACTGCACTAAGATGAGGTTACATGAATTATATTCTACAGGTTCTTACAATCGTCTTTGGTAGCTAAGTACAGCACAGGCGAAAAACACTAGGAATTCATGTTTTTGTCAGTAGAACAAAAACTCACCTGTGCTAGCTCCCACGGCACCAATAAGCACGGATGGTAGAGCCATTATAAGGCAACCGATTGCCGCGACGAAACTGAGAATTTGAGCTTGTTTCGCTGTTCTGCAGGATAGCACCCGCTTCAAAGAGGAAAGAAGGACAACAAACGAAGTTGGATTAACAGTAAGTACTTTATCTTGCTAAACTGTGTGAACTTACAAGAAAAATGATTTAACAGTGGTAGGGGTCACCAGTTAGGCTCACTTAACGAAACACCAACAGGTAGCAAAATCTGCTGAGTACCGTTAAGTGCCATGCTATCTTGAAGGTTTTAAACGATATTCCCACGGTCGCATAACATATTCGCAACCCGACGAACCACTTTGCTTCCACCACCCACAGATTGGAAGTTACCGTGGTATGATCGTTTGTGCACATCCATTATTGATTGAGTGACGCTGTCATACCCGGTTGGTCAGTAGACAGAGGTTTGACTGACAAAGATCCCTAGTCCTCCAAGTTTCAGGTTGTAACGTGCGATGAACTGCTTCCTAAAATAGCGACTTCTCTGGCAGTTTTAGGCCAACCAATGTTGCCTTGAAGTTGAACTTTTGAGCCAACTGCTTCGGTTGAGTACGCTTATCGACCTATCGTTTAGGTGCTGGCGCCCCAACAGTATCCCAACCCACTGGGCTTCTTTCCACATATCTCCGATGCAAAATACAGTGACATTTTAAAATAATTTGCCACTATATAACAGTTTGAACAAATAAGCAAGTGGTGGATTAACGTATACGATAAACATTAGGCAACTGGCTAAAGGTTAGCAAAACAAAATCTGTATCACTTTCTCAAGCAAGTGACAGGTTGGAGCTTCTACTCAGATTTCGCTCAACAGCCAGAACAAATTGTTTTAAATTCTGGTTTATACAACCCCTTTTTAATTCGTCCCCTTTGTCGGGTGATTTGTCCAATCCGGACCGCAAATTGACGCATTTGGTCAGTTTATGCCTGAATCACATAGATTCTGGTCGTTCCGACAACAACAGTCTATTGAAAAGCAAACCATGGTACTTGCAGTCGGAACACGGGAATAAAATGATACCGAACGATTTTTGTTTCATTGGTCAATACTTCACAGGAATCCAAAGTAAAGATGTTCTTCAATCTGTCCTCTAATGTCTCGATGACTGTCTCATCCCACTGGTCACCAGAACAGGTTCTGACAGTTTCGCCCACATCAACTGGGGAGAGGACTGTCTACTTAACCTTCCCTTCATTAATCGATACGTCATGTTTCTACCCAACGCTATCGATTTTGGCGACCAGTTATTTCAGAAACCGCTGGATGACCGGACAACTTATGCACACGCACCTAAAATCTGGTGAAATTTTCCGTCGTCAACAGATGTAGCCCTCATCAAGGTTAGTAAGTCGAATGTGGGTATCTTGGTTTGTACGTTGCTCATACTTTATGATTGATCCAATGTCGTTAAAACTTGCCTTTCGAGCTTCCAGTGTCTATCGTTTACGTTCTGGACACGAGAAAGTTCCAGAATGATGCAAAGTATTCGGCCCAAAACAGTGGTAAATAGGCAAATTTTTAAGCAATAAATAGCCTACAATACAAGGCACTCGTACTTATTGATGAGACCTGTTAAGGATACAAATATTATACCTTTGAGTTTGCGACAATGCGAACGAATTACTCAGTTCTTGTCAGAGACGCTAATCAACGCAGAAAATGTGGAAAGTGATCGTAATCAATCCCAACTTCTACGGAAATTATCAACTGCCAAAAAAAAGAGTTAAGTGAAATTGATTGCAGTCAACATCGACTGTTCTGACGTTTACTTAGACTAACTGATCAAGATTGTGCTGTAGCTGAATGACAAAACTGATTCGCATTGTGTTGGCCGTCATGTAAAAAAAGTGTCCCAGCGCATGACGTTACGAAAACACAGAAACAGACAAAACTTTACCGTGGGCTTATAGTTGTATTCGGCGGTACTGGAGTTCTGACACACAACTGAATGATATCAAATCTCCTCACATTATCATGAACTAAGGATTGTAAAACTTTCTTCTGAGAAGTTGCACTCGAGGAGTCGGTCAACACGTGACCACATGATGTGGTTTCCGTTAGTGAACGATGGGTGACGCTATCTCCTGTCTAGGTGAGAGCTAATCGCACTGCTGATTATCCGCTCGTGGGAGGCACGGTTGAGTGTTCAGACTACCGGCCGGGAGGTCGCGAACCAGAGAATCCCTGTAGTTTCTTCAGATACGCACTGCTGATGATTCCCAATAGGAATGAAACAGTTTTACAGTGCTTCTCGGCTTTTCGGCATAGAGTGGCTTTGCTTTCGGGATGAAAACTCTATTGCATATTACCAATTCTCTCCAAATCATCATGAACGTAATGTTCTAGTTCCCCAAATATGAACTATTAGTTCGTTTAGGTTTTCTAGTCAACAATTTCTATTAACTTAAATGGTTTTCTGTTAATTTTTAATGACTTCAATCGTTTCCTGCATACGCTGTGAACCGACACAAAAAATTTCCAAGCAATCCTTTCAAAAAAGCTACGGGGAATGGTTTTCAATCAACCACACAAGGAGCGGACTGCTCAACCAAAGCTTGAGTACCAAATCCGCAATCAAGGTGGTCCAAAAATAAAAACGTGAATCTAAGAGAGACCCATTCAAAGAGAGTTCACTTCGCTGGAAAGGTAAAAACATTCTCTCTAATATGCCAGGTCGTAATGTGTGATCTACAAAAGAGGGGCAAAATTTTCTTTGTGGAATCTCTGGAACGTTTTTCGCACTCTTTTCTCGACATGTAGGCTCTTACAGGTTTCGATAAAAATTCATGTGCATTTATGGTGTGGAAATCCATGAATTGGAACCCTAACGTATACCTACCTGTCTGCGGTGGAAATACATTTCTATATGTATATTGATTTCCACAAATATTTATCGATAAACTTCTATCGAGAGGTTAAATTAGCGGACGAACTTTGAACAGATCAGAAAGATTCAGCTGATAGTTCGGATTGGTTGAGTTTATGGGGATATCGCATTATCAGTTCAACTGGCGTTGTGCGAATCGTGGGCAATCTCCCCGTGGCTGAATGAATGCTACGGCGCCAGAATATATTACTGATTTTTGAACAAGTAGCTAAAGTTTATGACAAATTAGGAGCGCTGCAGTAATCCATTAGTGCTGGACCAGCCGTCAGTTCAAAGTTGACCAAACAGAGGAAAATCAAGAGCGGGAATTAAAACTTTTGTCACAGTTTGTTCTACACAACCATCTACAATGAGAAGAGCCGAACTATCGCCATCAAATTGAGTTTTTGTCCTCACTGCATCTCACTGGTTGCAACTGCACAAGCCCGTGCTTAGACCATTTATTTGTATCCATTTTCAGCGTCTGCAAGTGGCTGTCTCTTGCGAAATCTCATAGGGGCGGTGGCCTGAGCCCGCCGTATAGTTGTTCATCTGTCGTCCAACCCCAACTTGCTCCACTCTGTGTCACAAAAGCGTGCAGTTTTTTTACCTGCCAGCAGTGATCCGTTCTGATAAATTTACACAACGGGCACAATATGTGATGAACTTAGTTATCGCTGGAATAAGTTTCCGTCGACCCGTTGCAGAAAACGTCCGTCTGTCTGTGTACTCATTTAAGGTGACTAATGACTAAATAATTTTCGACGCCGGTTTTCTTTTTTACTCCACTTGCTTCTTTCCAGCGTACTTCAGAGCAACCGGAACTCGTGTTTTGATCTTCATCTATAGATGAAAGCTTCAAGAGTTTTAAAAATCTATCTACCAAGATTTCTTACCACGACGGTATTATAAACCTCTGGAGCAGAAGTCCCCCATATCACATTGCACGCTCACCTCAAAAACACATGCGGGAGTGCGCGGAAATTGAAACTGCAATTTCACTAGCTAGACAGTTTTTGAGGCCTTTCTTTAAGCCACTGTCGAAAGAAGCTTGATAACAGTTTCTCCATTGGTTAACCAGCCTTGGCATATTGATGAATTCAAGGAACTGAGCCACACTTGATTCAGAGGAACGAGGATAACAGTGTGTACAGAAAGGTTGTTTATGCTCTACCTGGTGGTGCGGATTTGTCGAAAGCAACTGTTTACGGCCGTTATTTACCAGACAAAGCCACAATATCTTCATGTTATGGACGTTGTAGGACCCACCTGAAAATAAACTTGCCACGGAATTCCACCAAACGTCAGCATGAGCAAGTTGTCCACATAGATACCAGCGTCCACCGCCTCCACACTGCCTTTCCACCGATCCCATGTTTGCGAAATCGGTACGGTTGCTTTGTTCAGCAGAGCAAATGGCAGAGAGATCCACTGAAATGGAACCGTATGGAATGATACCATAGTGCGGACAGAGAAGGTGGGGAAACAGTTGTATCCAAAAAGGAATTCAAAAGAACAGAAACGGGACGAACTCGGACGAACCAGTTTCTTCGATGATATCTCCATATGTTGGGCGATTGTGTCGCCTATCCGTAGCAATGTTTGAACCAATCCCTTTTCACTTCCGGGAGGGGTGAGCCGAGTCGGTCACGTGTTTTAGTAATTCCATAATTAGTAACGAAAGGACACACCAAGGGGACTGTTTTCTTCTCTGAAGTATGTTTCAATCAAATATCCGAATTTTGCTCCTCTGTCAAATCCACTAAACAGCTAAGTTCCTAACGATGACCAACCAAGTCCGAAAAAGACCCAATCTCTTCCGTTGAACGGGCTATTGCACGAACAGTTGTCAGGCAACTTAACCTTTGCTACAAATGGACCTACCCAATCGAACACTAAGGACTTCTCCTCGAAAGGTGACAAAGTTTTGCAACGTAAATACCAAGCTCAACGAACGGGGCAAGTGTTACCCGAGCTACCAATATTTGGGCCGATTGCTGTTTCCACATAAGAACTTATTGTTGTCTCGTTCCTGAATCAGCTGAATGTTATCAATATGTCTAACCTAGAAGGTTCTCAGAATCATTCCCAACAATGTGGGTCAGTTCTTCTGTGATAACTTCTCTTCTCTACAACTATGAGATGTGTTTAAATATTCGTGACAATCCATGACCGATTATACCTGAGCGGCGAAATTTGGATGCTACTGTCTCAGCTGAGATTTAAGAGCGCATATTTTGTCCATCCACATGTAAGGTGCTTCATGGGCCACAGTGAACGATAACATATCATTACAGACCTACGTGGAAGCAGTAACTGCGTTCTGAAAAGAAAAAACTGGCGCAGTTTTTGGCCAAAACGAAGTGGTCCTAATTCTGTAAGGCAAGTTCACGTTCGTTCAAAATACATCAACCCGTAAGTGATATTGTTTAGTTCAACTTAGCCTAAATCCAGACTTGATTTACTTAAAGTGTGAGTTATCTCCAAACCTGATAGATCCGGTTCTGTTTGCAAGTTTCCTTTCAAGTAATAGGGTTGTTTAAGAGGAACGATTGAAACAGAAACATTTCGATGACGTCACTTTGACTGCTGGTGGCGATGTGTTTGTAAGCCGACAGTCATGTCTTGTGACCAGATCAATAATCACCAAACTTTTAAACCTTTGAATGGGCACATACGTTCGACCTGTTATTGTCCCGCGCTTGTTATTTGAAGATAGCTGATGAAGCTGAGCGACTCAACACTCAATTTTTTCAGCATGGGGCTAATCTTGATTGGGCAGTTAACTCAACGAATTTCGAAACTTGACAGTCTGCTACAATAGGCACAATTTGTGACAAAGCTTGGTCGGTTCGTTGTCGAGAGCAATCTTTAGAATCACAGTTGCGTGCCAGCGACTACCGATACAGCTAAACGTACAGAGTGAACAGTTTATTTCGCCATAGTTTGACAAGCATTGTCTGCCATGATAAGTAGTGTGATTATTTCGTGATGTCTTTCAGGAAGTCTCCATGGTAACAGAACAAACATTGTTGAAATTTTTCAGTTGTTTTGGAGGGTGGCGTTTCGCCCATAAGTTGCGAAGTTCCTCAGACCGGATTGAAACGATCCCCAGTTTGTTTCGACTCGGACTGAGCAAGTAGATTTAATTTTGATTCTGTGCGGGAGTTCACCCGGCTCTGAGGAAATCAATCCAGAAAAAGTGAAACCAGGTTTCAACCAATCGTCAAACACTATAACGGACCTGAAATACCTTTATCACGTTTTCTGTGCCCAGCATAAACTTTAGCATGGGTCAAAATTCTGAAGCAGGCCAACGTTCCGATTCACGGAGTTCCTCACTATTCCAAAACACTCAATTACTATAAGGTGTAAGCTAGCAAAAGATATTTGTGATCATCAATGGCATCAAAGTGTCTTGAAGCTCCCATATGTTCTTGAAAGACAAACAGCTGAAATTCTGTAGATTTCATCCTGAACAGCCCACGTCATGAAAACCGACGATCCGTCATACTTTTCAACGTAATGGGAATCACTAATCCAGTAAAGCAAACGGTCATAAAAGAATAACTTTCGTTGTTAACAAATGTATGCTGAAGCCGGTTGTTTCATCCTCATAATTACAATAACTTAAAGTGAAGTCTAATTCAATCGAATCCCACGTCCGTTCTGTCCTGTGAGAACACATTAGCACCAGACAATCTCCATTTCAGCTAGTGCTTGGTAATGGCGATTCAAAAACATCGACTGAAGGATACTACTTGCAAGGTTGCTGGAAACTCTTGACAAACCTTATGCATACTGGATCACGTCTGTACAATGTATCGTGATATCTGGAATATCTTATCAAATGAAATATAGGGCGCCCTGGTGCTGCACATGCAGTGTATAAGTCACACTTAGTGTTGTTCGTCCTGGTCCGCGCATCTGTATGTTCGAGGCCAGTCGGTCTTAATTACCTAGCATCACGTTGATTGGACGGATGTGTCACTTGTGGGCTACGCGCTTGACGAAGGGATTCTTTGATTGGTCAGAATGCTAGATAATCAGGATGCAGCGTTATAGCTCGGCGCTCCTCACGGAGATTCTGGAGCGACCGTGCGGAACATTCTGTGATTACCCCATAAATACCGTTGTAATAATCTTCCCTTGTCTCCATAGAAGCCTGTGTCTTTTGATACATCTTAGTGGGTGGACCAGGGAGCTAAGGACTGACACAGGTTGCACCATCGTCTGTCTGCAGTACACAACACCCCAACTTTGTGGGGAGGGAGTCCAATATCAGCTCTGCGAACACTTTGGTAGGTCTCCAAATATGGGCATCTTTTGACGTGATTAGCACGTCGGTGTGCCTAGGCATGACAGCTGAGATGGTCCGATAGATAAAGTTCTTACTATCTGAGGGACATCAGGGTGAACTCGGATCCTGAAGACATACTGTCGTTTCGGTAAAGAAGACGGTCGTAGATGATCTTGTGGCTAACTCAGACCACTGTGACTGACTTTTGGTTTAGTCAACAGCACACCGGGCTCAGACCTAAAACAGTCGATTCGTTGTTCTTAGATATTTTGAGACATGGAAGGCACTAAACGAAGTATTGCTTGGTTTCCATGTGGTTCTTATTGTGGCTCAACAAACCCATTTTCCTCCGATTACCTAAGGCATTGTAGGGAGCTCATGTTCTGCTCAAAACAATTTCAAAGCTTACGAGAAATTCTGGGTCAAATAGATCATCGAAGTATTGGTTTCCACGTGGTTCTTATTGTGGCTCAACAAACCCATTTTCCTCCGATTACCTCAGGCATTGTAGGGAGCTCATGTTCTTTCTGAAACAATTTCAAAGCTTACGAGAAATTCTGGGTCAAATAGATCACAAGGTTGACGGAATCTCGGGAACTGCGCCTACCTGATGAGCCCCAAGAAGGGCAAAACCGGTCGTGGGTTGTCGAAGAGTTTTCAACAACCTTGTTGTTGGGGATATCAATACCCCCCAAAAAACACTGTATTTTTATATGTGCTAACGAACTTCCGGCGTCTTCAAGGTCAAACTATGAATATATATATATATATATACATATATATATGTATACTGTGTGACTTGCGACCAAAATGAACGACCTGTGAGACAAAC